GTTCCCCATGATCATGTTCCGTATTCTTTGGATTAAGTCACCTGAGTGTTTAATATGTGTTCGGTTCATGATTCCGAGGAACGGAGTTAAGACTTTTGCAATTAATTTAGATAATTGATTCCGGTCACAATGTGTGATGGGTATGTTGGATATATGTCTTTTTGGTAGGGCCGGATAGTCTGGGTGTAGTGGGGGTAATATTCTCCTAAACTAGTCCTGGATTTGTTTTCATTTTTTAATAGTTTCTTAACTGTTTTGTTAAATATTTGTGTGTTTTTATTTGTGTTGGTTCACTGGGTTTTATATAAGCGCTGTCGTTCTTTAAAAGGGATTCTATATTTTGTTTGAAAACTCCCATCGGAAATATTACTATTTTAAAAATAATTATTGAAGTTACTTCCATATAATAAAATCTTTTAAGGATTCCATTTTATTTTTAGCATAACTATTAATACATTCTCGTAAACTTGTATGTATAACATAAGTTTAACAAGCGAAATACATTGTCTTGTAACATTGTCTTGTAACATTGTCTTGTAAGTCATTTCATGAGTGAAGCCGTAAATGTTCTTACTTTCCCAATTCATGTGAGTGAAAATATTGTAACTTTACCGAAACCCTTAACAGGTTTAACTGTGGAATCGCTGTAACAGAAGCGTATTAGATTAAAAAGAAAATCCTGTCTGAAAAGAAAGAATGTTGTTTTATCATCTTCCCACGACTAAGTATGGCCGTAGAGTCGCTGCGCCACTATACACCTAATTTACTGAAGACATCTGGATTGAAAGTCGGAGATGTCAAATTGAATAATTTAAGACACTGCATGCATTATATGGAATATTTGCACTGTCTATGAGAGTAAAGTTTTACATAAAATATCAATGATGTTTTACTTTGTTTCAGTCGATGAATTGTACCGTTAAAGATTCACCCTCGTCCAATACGATCAATAGCTAACAGTATAATAGGGTGCATAACGATTCCCTACAAATATAGAACAAACATACCCTACCTCAATCAACTCTGTAGTCTTGGTTTGTTTGTGTTTAACAGCATATCAACGCCTTACTGGTTATTTAATGCCGAAATTTAATTTTCGTTGGAGCATTATCAATTTCTTTCACAAAAATGTTTATCTGGTAATTTTTTTACTAGAAAAATGTATTGCTGATGTTTTTTCCTATAAAATTATTTATACTTTCACAGAGTTTTGATCCCAGTTTGGGGTTAAAAATTTGCCCATAGCTGGAACCCTAACAGGTGCTACCACCCCGGGTCAATATGGACCTGGGAACAACAAGCAAGTAAGAGGTGCTCCACGCTCTTCGAAACCTCCCGATCAGAGGCCGGATATCCAGGACCCCTCTGTAATCTGCGAAAAAAAGTTGACTTAATAATGTGGCCGGTTGTTATTTTTATCAAAGTGTTAGTGTCTGTTCGTTATTAAGGACAAAACTCGCTGCTGAACTTTCTGTAAAGGACCATCACAAGTACTACTGCAAAGTTAGTATTTTATATAGCGAAAGAGACAATTTTACGAAAATGTTGGGCCGTACCAAAACCATAATGGCACTCTAAATAGCATTTGTCTGCTTTGAGTAGGAGAGGAAGGATGTCGTCTGTCATGAAGTTTTCAGTTATATTTCAACAGTCCATTCTGAGTGATATTGTCGTCAACTTGAAACACTATATTATTGTTTGTTAAAAAAGCGATATTTACTGACCAATCTGAAAGGTTTGATACTCTTGCACGAGAACACAAGAAAACACGTTGATAACACATTTTCTCTACTTTCCTTCCTTTGTAAAGAGGGTCATACGTGTGCAATGCACTAAATAAACCTTGGTGAAATAGTGTAAGATTAATCTGCGAAAGAGCGATAAGAGAGAGTGAAAAAACGAAATATAAATAGCAGAAATAATAAAGGAAATTGCAAATTAAAAAATAAAAATGGCGGATAGAGAAGCTAGAAACGGAAAAAGAGTTGAAGAAAAAATCAGAGAAAGAAGAAAAAAATTGTATATTTTTCTTTTAATGGTTGAGATAGAAACAGTGAAACGAAACCAAACACGAAAGAAATCTAGAATGGTTCGCAAAACAGAAACTTAGTTACAAAGAAAACAAATTACTTTTTTCTGTGATACTATCTCTGAAAAATTATTTTTATCATTATTTCATTTATACTTTATTTCATAGTATTTTAATAATTATAGTTTATATTATTTCATAATATACTGTCAGACATTTTAATTATATATCTGTGTAATATAGAGCATTTGACATGATAACGTGACAGGTTCTAAAGATCATGATAATTAGTTCTTTTGTACATTATAAAAATACTTTTGTAGCAAAATTGCTATTGCATTGAAGTAAAAAACAAATAGTTATATGACAGTAGCAGTGAGAAAACAAACGAACCTAATCAAGACAATAGAAGTGCTTGCGGGACCGTTGTAATTAGCCTGCTAATTTCGGATTTTACTATTGTTTTATAAACATGGTCTTTTACCAAACATGGTAATTCTCATGTAATTTTAATAGTCGGGAAGCATTCACATTTCTTCACGCTTAAAATCCCACACATAGCCCGTTGTTAACTTGGGCAAAAGATGGCCCGTTAATTTTAACGCCTTCAAAACTAAACTACTTTCTATTAATCATCTGATTGTCGCTTCTCTTCCTTCCATCAGTATGGCTGATACTAACCTCCGGGAGAGTGACTAGTTGCGCCTTCTTGGGTTAAAGTTCTCAGCTTACATAAAGTGAAAAGACTATTGGATTGATTCCTAGATTAACTGCTAAGAAATTTGGTTTACTGTGACAATATTCCTCTCTAGAATCTATCTTACATATCTATAAGTCTACCATTCGTCCATGGTTTGCTTAGAATATTGCTGTCACATATGGTCCAGTGCCTCTGCTATTTACTTTGAGCTCCTTGATATGATCCACAAAGTATCAGCACTATTATTGGTCATGACCTCTCGTCTCGGCTTCAGCCAATTTCCCACCGCCGCAAGGTTACCTCCCTCTGCCTTTTCTTTTCTTTCATGGCAATTGTTCAGATGAGCTCTTCTCTATGGTACCTAGACTTTTTGAATTTAAGCGCAGTACTCGACTGGCGTCGAGATCTCATCAATTTACAGTTGAGTTAACTAGATGCAGCCGTAAATTCTATCCTAACAATATCTTTTCTCGCGCTTCTCACTTCCAGCTCCATAATTTCCGGCCAATTTTAATCTGCAATGTTAATCGCTATCTACCAGATTACTATTTTCACTTTCCACTTATTACTAATGTTTCTGTTACTAATTCTTGCATGGGGTGAAACAGATTAAAGAAATATATCATTTTTATTTAGAAAATGTTTCGATTAATATAAACTTAAATATATTAATATAAATTAATATATTTAAAGCTTCAGATTAACGTAACTTCAGAAAAGATACTTCAGAAAAATTCATAACATTTTCTCACTCACTGTATACAGTAAATGGTCGGAAGAATTTCTAAATGAAACCTTTATTCAATCCACCGATGGTGTTACTCATCATGTTATTCATGTTAGGGGAGATAATTCGGTTTCATTTATACACTGAACCAGAAAATATTACTAAAGAAAATTATAATTGTTAATAATTCCTTGTTTATTTGCAGTGTAACGATGAAACAACGGAATTTTATGTTAAGGTACTGCTACAAGAAAAAAGAAATACGGAAGGAAAAGGAGGATAACCGCCCTCGGTGAGATGAGGTTGAAATAATAGAATAAAGGCATTACTGGAAAGTCCGAAAACTTAAGGAATCGGTGCATATGCTAGGCCACAAAAATCTCCAAATCCGACCAAGCATGAATAAAATATGGGAACCAGTAATATGGAGTGCTAGAGAAAAACAATAATAATAAGAAATTGTAATATGAAATATGAGAAAAAAACATAGTTACTGAGTCATTAGATTTATAAGTCCCCAAAATTCATACTCTTATGACACAAGACCGAGTGGATAAAACTGTTGCTTAAATACAGTAGCTTAACCCAAAGAGTTGTGAGTTCAATACCTGGCTACAGCAGAGATCAACAAAACTTGGAGATTTGAGTTAAATGGAGATTAACTGATACTGAAATATCTGTACGTGGAACTAAAATAATCTACTCCCGAAATGAAAGAAATAAAGGGTTCGATTCGAAATTCCAGTCACCTGAATATGAAAAAACAAACAATCCGAACAATGTAAATACTGTAATAATTACAATACCTCATCTAAGATATACCAAAAAAATATGGAGGCAGTTAGAAATGTCATAGAAAATTTATACACGATGCAGAGACTTACTACTCATCCCTTCAGGAAATCCTGTCGAAAAAATATTGCACTGCAATCCAACAGATTTACCGACAAAGAGATCAGCATGATCTGAATAAATCCTTCAAACACGAAGGTACAAAAATTGAATAGATTGAAAGATTAGGTCCCTAGTGAATCAACATCAGTCAAAACCATCTAGAGTACTATTGAACAACAACCTGGTTACTATACTTGGACATCATTGCCCGAATACTTAATCGAAGAAATAGACTTGAACAAGCTCGAGCTAAGATGAAAAGTGGGACTGGAGAAGGTCAAGCCACCCAAATCAAACATCACAAAGCTGAACAGAGCGTAAAGCCTTAACACGAGGGGAAATAGAGAAAATTACTAGAAGTACGAAAACTTAAGCAATCACCGAATATGGTTGACCAGAAAAATCTCCTAAGTCGGCCGAGAGAAGAACAATAATAACAACAAAGGAATATTAATGATTTTAGTGCTACAAGTCTCACTAATTAATTCATTACTAGGGAAAAGAAGTGGAATCATACCTTTGCAGAAAGGTATTTGCGTGTAAGTAAATATAACGAACCCAACTGAAATTAGAACTCCACTCTCTCTCTCTGACAATTAACTGTTAACAATTTCGAGCTATTATCCATTACAATACCTTCACATCCAAACTTACAGCACCTGATATTCCCAGGCGACTACCCTTCTAGACACTAAATAGACTCAACGTTGCTTAACTTCTATGATCATACGGGAAATGGTGTTTCAACGTAATATGGCCGTAAGCCTGCTATATTCGTAAGCTTGTTGATATTTTGATAAATGCTATCAACGAAACTATCAAATGGGGTTGAAAATTGATCGGTCATTTGTACGGGAAATTATTAGAAGTTATTAAATTGTAAATTTCTTTTTTGATGTGATCTACGCCATACTAGATTTATTAGATCAATTCTTTTATGAAAACGGAAAAATATTATTTAATTATATTGTATGTAATCTTATAAAAAGAACATTAATGCGAGTGAATAATACAAAGTGGAATAAAGAATAGAGAAAAGGTAGTGAATAGAATTATAAGGCATACAAAATAAAATGGTGATTAAGAGTTTAATGTTAAGCTATTCGAACAAAGTTGGAAATTATCCAATGGCCCTCTTGACCCGTGGTTTCATAGGGTCAGCAATATCTCGTGATAGAGAATCTGATAAATTGCCATCTGATTTACATCCAGAACTCTTAAAACCGTAAATTTCAGCTGGTTAGACACCGTTGAGTAGGAATAATAAATTAGTCCAGTGTCAGATCATAGCCAGACAGCAACTGGTGGAGATCGAACTCACTTGTAATTGACTGTGAAAAGAGTTTGAGAATAATTTACTCTACGACAGGCTCCCTAGTCCTTTAATTGTAAAAGTAAATGGTTGTGCAGTAACAATAGCCTTTTGAAATGTAATAAGAAAGTTGATACAGTTCTTTCTTACAGAATTGAAAATTTTAGATTACAAACAGCTTAGTATTTCCTCTTTTTTCCTCTCACAATCCTCCTCCACACTTTATTTCTCATTTGTCATTCTTGATAAAATCTGTCTTAATTTATTCTTATTTTTCCGTCTTCATAAAGAAACTGATGTTATACATCCCGTTATAAAAAAAATGCGTTCAGAGTTAATAACTTCTATTCATTTTACTATCATTATTGATATAACTTATTAAAAAGCTTAAGAATATAAACTTTTTAATGGAGATTGAAATAAGCGTGCAAATCCTGACGTACAATTTCGTTGGAATCGTCCACATTTTGGGTATTCGTAAAGTGCAATCAAAGGGTTTTCATTTTCTGGAACAGATTAATAAGAATTTAAACGACAAATATTTCTCTCTCCAACATCAGTAAAGTATATAATATCTAAAATTTATCTTTGAGATAAGGTATTATGATTATTTACATTGTTCGGACTGTTATCCTTATTTTCGTTGCCATATTCCCAACGAAACCTTTATTTTGGCCCCCGGAGAAGATTGTTCTACTTCCACGTGCCATGCCTCTTCCGGATGTCTCAGTTATTTCCCTTTAACTCAACTCTCCAAGATTTTTTTTTTCACCATTGCTGTAGCCTGGTACTGAACTTACAACTCTTTCGATCTAGTCATTGGATCTAACCAACGCCTTTATCCACTGGGCCATGTGTCCACAACCCAGTCCGAATAGTGTAAATAATGTAAATAATCTCAAATTTAATAGAAAAATTCTGAATATTTTATATTCTATAATACCTAAATAGTAATATTACATACATGTATATCTGTGTACTTTTTTTTTTAAACAAATAAGCTACGTGGTCACTGTGACTCAACTAATTTTGTTACAAACTTGACTTCTCTAAAGATGATTGCGCTTAGAAAGCAATATGTAACATATAATGCTGTCAGAGTTTAGAAAACTCAGAATCAATAATATTTATGGATATTTTTAAATGAAGAAAAAAGGCGAAGATTATTTGAAAGTCTTCAGAAATGTAACTCCAACTTAAGAGATGCGCTACTTTTGTTTCAACTTGATAGAAATATTCTTGTTAATGTTGAAAAATTAACTTCAAAACCAAGTTCAACCTATTCAGTCACCGTCATCTGCCACAATTTGGAAAGCTGCCTAAACTTAAAAAATGATCTATGAGTTTGGGTATCTACATTTTTCTGCACCCTTCAAAACCCAGCTCGTCATTTTGATGACTGCCGTTAAAAAGATGATATTTTACAAGAATATAAACCACTGAGACAAACAGAAAAAAACACACCCCAAGAAGAAACTCTATCATAAGAAATTTTTGACTGCGTTGGGTTCGAGCTGGTTTGACTTGCTACCATAATACTATGATTACGTAATACATTTATTGTCAACACCTGGAGCAATTAACCTTATTAATGTCAATCGGATCATTTTTGGGACAGTGAGTATTAAAGGGTCATATGTAGAAACCTATAATTAATATTCGGTTTAACGGTGGGCACTAATAGGTAATAGGCTACTTTGAAGGAAAAGACGATCCAATTTGCTCAGTCCCAAAAATGTTGCGTTTCATCATCAACGATCCCTGTTCTATACAAAAAAGATCACATATGAAAAAAATTAAAGACGTCGACTTGTAAAAAAAATGTCTATGAACTCATTTTTCTTCCGATCGTATTTTTGTGTATCATCTATACTACCGTTTATGTAATTATATTAATATATTCGGTGTTAAAAACACATGATATGGTGAAATATATCTCCTTAGTTTTCCTTTATTCCAGATCAAAACCCATTTACAAAAACGTTATTACAAATCTTGGGAAATTTGTGAGGTGGTTATTGATAATGATAGTATTTCTGTTAAGATCTAAATTTAAAAAAATGACTTATTAATTTATTTATTTGTTTTCAAGTTCATTTCTACTGGTTTGACTAACTTTATTTATCGCAGATAAATGTCAGTAAAGAGAGTGGGTGATTTTGTTTTTACAGCTTATCAACCTTCTTGAGGGTTATTTAAAGCCAGAAAATATTTTACCTTGTGAGATTTTTGGAGATAATGATTTACTTATAAAAGTCTCACTAATTAACATATATTTAGGGTGGGGGAATATAATGAACCCGGTTGGAATTGGAACTCTGCTCTCCGAGTTCCAATTTCAGCAGCACATCCAAACTTACAGCACCTGATATTCCCAAGCGGTCACCATACTCGACGTTGGTTAACTCCGATGATCTTACTAGAATATGTCCGTGAGGAAAGAAAACCCAAGGAATAATCAATAAAAGATGTCTCCTATTTACCGCTTTCTAGCACTGAAATTATCGGTTGAATTTTGGCAGTTCTGATTAATCTCACCGAATCATTCAGAATCGATTGCAACCTTCGAGCGAAATGCACTTTGTTAACCAGCCGTGGTCATAGAAGATGTTCAATGCTGAGTTAGAGCGCATAACCTTCTTGTCATGAATAGACAATTTTATTTTCCTGTTCTTCTCTAGATTCTTATTCTAATAGCATTTGAAGATTATCTTAGACTTCAATCCCGGACGAAAAATGATAAATGTGAAAGCCCATCCGTGTTTGTAATTTTGTCTTATAAGATAAAGCATGGGAAATGTCTTCCTGTCTATGTGATTGGAATATTGCTCTCGTCGTAGCAATTGTGATGTCAGGAAAGTGATAAAAGAATCGGCGCGAAATTAAGACGGTGTCCCTAGCAACAAAGTACAAGACCAACCCATCAGGGGTTACGTTTCAAATCTATGCATCATTAAATCGCTATTATTGTAATCAGAAAACACCTGCAAATAAGGAAGACTGAAAAATAATTCATCTCCATCATATGATATTCTTTGCCACCATATTTCGTGTTTTTAAAAATATGAAATCTCATTCAGAAGATACAATAAAAGAAACAGTTTTCTTTAAATATATATTTTGTTTTCCAGTGTATGTAATAAGATTCTGCATTTACTTATTTATCATAGGACTGAACAGCGACTACGTTTTGATTTTTTTTTTCTTTTTTTAATGACTTAAATTTAAAAAAACAATTAGCAAATATCTGAAATGATGGAAATAATTATAAGACACCTCAGAAATATATCTTGTAAATTTCAGATATTTGTCAAAGTGCGTAACTGATTTCATTATGCAGGAAATGAATCGAGAATTCAATTTTAAAATCGATTTTTAACTTGATTATTTCACTGGATGCAAATTCTGAATAAATTAGGCATTCTAATATTTTGAGTTGAATATGAAAGGGAAATAATTAAAACCCTTTCTTTTTTATTATAAAACCTGAATACATATGCTTTGCATTGACGATGCAAGATTTTCCAAACTTTCAAAGTGAATTTAATCCCAGCAATGTTTCATGTAAGAGATAATGTTCTTCCTTGTTTATGGTCACATCTTGAAAGGATTTCCTGAAAGTTCCCAATGGAATTAAATTCTTAAGAAATTACAAACCAGTTCATGCCCTTGCATTGAAGCCATTCCTTGTTAGTTACTTTAGCATTATGAATGGATGTTATTCTACTGAAATAATGCTAATGTCAGTCGATTAATGAGGCAATACTTTTCTCTAAGACTTCTCTATAATGGTGAACATTTAACCTGCCTTTGCTCATCAGCAATTTCCTACTTTGAATGAAAAATGTCCCCATATAATAACATATCCTCCACTAAATGGACATTTGGAAAAACATTTGTTCCTTAAATTTTGCCAATAGCATTACGTTGGAACCATCAAAATTGAAATTTTCAAAGAACATTGTTGCTCAGTCTACTCGACGAGGACTTTTTCTGAGTATCAGAACCTTTTTCTGAACTGAAATACAATATTAATCACTTTATTGCTGGACACTTAACGATGACGATAGCATTGATGATGATATTAAGATAAAGGTATGTAACGATGACGGTTTACAGCAATCAGTTTTTATAGCCTCTGTGATCATTATGTAATACGTTTCCAATGTTTTCCAAAAATTGCTAATACAATATTAGTTTTGTTTAGTTTTTGTGTATAGGCCCTAATTATTTTATTGCCTTCATAAGAAGTCGAAATTTTTCCCGGCTCTTCTTCGATGAGAATTGTTTCTCTTAACATTAAAAGTTACATTAGGTGTATTACACAGTTTATGTCCAATTGTAAACTAAAAACTTTTAGAATCACTTCGAACGAAATTTCTAGAAACTTTTATAAATAATCAGAAATTGTTTTGTAATATGTTGCATACTTATTGCCACCCACAGGACGC